TCTCATAGTACCACTCATTGAGGACAGAGGTCCTACATGGGGAGTAAGTGCACAGTGACTCCTGTTGTTGATTTAACAATTGACACTCTGACTAGCCAGCATCTTAACCACAAGCCCAAACACTTGCCCCTACAAAACGTTTTATGTGAGACATTTTACAGGTAATCTTACTATACTGATTTTAACTTTAAAAATTGTAATAAATTGATTCTTGTTATTTGCAGTAGTTATGTACTAAAAAGTCAAGGCAAACACTGACTTAGCAAATACTGAACTTGTGGGAAAATACAGTTAGGCTCTATGAACCTCTGTTGACAATGTTTTCTCTAACTGATCAACACACAGCCTTGTTTTACTGCGTGTTTCCATTTCCAGAAAGCAGATTTTGTTGATTCATTAATATCAAACTCAAACAAAAGCACTAGACTTGATGGAAGCTTGTCCAACACAGGCATTTTTCCCATAAAGCACATCTGAGTCTTCCCGGGCCTAGGAACCCTAGACAGTGCTTCCACACTATGCTTGGGAATTACTTGAAGCAACAAAATTACCCACAGAAATGCAAAAGCAGTCATACTTAACAGACTGCAGGGAGGATACTTGTTTGCTGTGTAAGAGCTAAAACTGCAAGGCAGAGGGTGGCTCATTTTGTTCCACGTGGGCTGGAAGTGTGTGTGTCCAGCACCTCACTCTGTGCTTGTCTGAGGAGGACCATAATAAACCGATTACAAATAACTTTTGCAATAATGCTAGTTTACAAATGTAAAATCCACAAAAATGAGAACATATACTTTATCAGGGATCAACAAAATCTCTGACCTTCAGAAGGGGCAGAAAAGCTAAGTAAGTGTGGAGGAACTTATGGTATAGTGGGCTTTGTAAAATTTAGGGGCCAGCACTGTAGCACAGTGGATTAAAGCCCCAGCTACCAGCACCAGCATCCCATATGGGCACTGGTTTGTGACCTGGCTGCTCCTCTTCTGAACCTCTCTGCTGTGGCCTGGGAAAGCAGTGGAGAATGGCCTAAGTGCTTGGGACCCTGTAGCTGTGTGGGAGACCCGGAAGAAGCTCCTGGCTCCTGGCTTCGGATCAACTCAGCTCTGGTCATTGTGGCCATTTGGGGAGTGAACCAGTGGATGGAAGACCTCTAACTCTTTCATGTAAATAAAATCTTTTAAAAAATTAAAAATTGTATATTTATAGACTTAAAAAACTTTTACCCATTAGATTGTATGACCCCAACACCCACAATAATTTGCATGTTGGAAAATCTCCTCTAAAGTCAAACTTGCCTTTCTCCAGATATTCTCTGTACTTTTAGGATATGCCATTCCCTCCTCATGCCTTTTTGTATCCAACAATCAACAACAAATCCATACTGGGTAAGCACCTTCCATGGCCCAGGCACTTTTCTAGATCCCCGGCAAATGGCCATGAAAAACACCAGTTGTCCTCGTTTGAGCTTATAAGCCTCATAGTCCAATTATCGCCACAGGCAACACTGCATATTTTACAAAAGGAAAATGGAATGGACACAGTAGTCCAGTAAATTGAGATTTCAGCATAAATATTCGAGGCAAGTTTTTCATGTCTAATTACTACCACTATGGACTCACTTCTGTACATCGTATATTTTTCTCCTATATTTAAAATGTAAATGAAGATGGTTAAAAGATATGTCTGTAGGTCAGGCTTTAGGGAAGAAAATTCATAAAAGATGATGGGGGTAGGGCTGGCACTGTGGCGCGGTGGATAAAGCCTCTGCCTGCAGTGCCGACATCCCTTATGGGTGCCGGTTCGAATCCCGGCTGCTCCTCTTCTGATCCAGCTCTCTGCTATGGCCTGGGAAAGCAGTGGAAGATGGCCCAAGTACTTGGGCCCCTGCACTCACATGGGAGACCCAGAAGAAGCTCCTGGCTCCTGGCTTCAGATCAGTGCAGCTCTGGCCATTGTGGCCATTTGGGGAGTGAACCAGTGGATGGAAGACCTCTCTCTCTGTAACTGTCTTTCAAATAAATAATTCTTAAAAAAAAAAAAAAAAAAAAAAAAAAGATGGGAGTTAGACACCTTTGTGGGAAAAGAGCTAGTGAGAAATCCCTAGGGGGTGGGTACCGTGCATCCAACACTTGGTTCCAAGTTGTCACTTTAATGTAATCCCCCTATCCTCCCAGGTGTTCCAGCACAGCAGTCTGTACAGTGAGAGTAGTATGAGAACTGCAAGGAGAGGAGAGTGAAGGGAAGAAGCACCAGCCCCCGCCCCCTGCTGGATCGCAGCATCCTCCCAGAGTTCTAGGACTTGCTGTGGAATGGAGCTGCAGTGGACAGGGACCGACTCAGTAGAACTCTGGAGACAAAGTACAACACAGGCAGCCTCAGCAGGAGGCGGAAGGCCAGCTCTGGGTCACAGGCAGCATGCAGAAAATGTGCACTGCTTAATACACGTCAACTCCTCATCTCCCCTCCCTATCACAAGCCAGGGAAGACAGAATCAAAGACCAGAAAACAATTTGGTTCTTGGTTGGGCTGGAACAGCCCACAGTCATTCACTGCTATCGCTATCAGTTCACAGCCTTGTCTTGACCCTAAGCTCTTAGGTTTGAAAAGACCGAGAAAGGACTGACCTTATTTTTAACAAAGGCTCACAAAAAAATCTGCCTTGGTGCCAGCACTATGGCATAGCAGGAGGTTAAAGCCCCGGGCTGCAGTGCCGGCATCCCATATGGGAGCTGGTTCGAGTCCCGGCTGTTCTACTTCCAATCCAGCTCTCTGCTAATGGCCTGGGAAAGCAGTGGAGGATGACCCCTGCACCAGGAGACTAAGAAGCTCCTGGCTGCTGGCTCCTGCCTCTGGATTGGCTCAGTTCTGGCAGTTGCGCGGCCATGTGGGGAGTGAACCAGTGGATGGATGACTTCTCTTTCTCTCTCTCTGTAACTGTCTTTTTTTTTTTTTAATTTTTAATTTTTATTTTTGACAGGCAGAGTGGACAGTGAGAGAGAGACAGGGAGAAAGGTCTTCCTTTTGCCGTTGGTTCACCCTCCAATGGCCGCCACGGCCAGCGCATCGCGCTGATCCGAAGCCAGGAGCCAGGTACTTCTCCTGGTCTCCCATGGGGTGCAGGGCCCAAGGACTTGGGCCATCCTCCACTGCACTCCCTGGCCACAGCAGAGAGCTGGCCTGGAAGAGGGGCAACCAGGACAGAATCTGGCGCCCCGACCGGGACTAGAACCCGGTGTGCCGGCGCCACAAGGCGGAGGATTAGCCTACTGAGCCACGGCGCTGGCCTATAACTGTCTTTCAAACAAGTAAATCTTTTTTAAAGTACAGATTTTTAAAAAAAACTGCCTTACCAGTCTCCCCGACTTTTATGTTCTGTGAGGCACATGAGTTGACCCATTTGTATCATCCTTAGAATGAAAGCAAAGCCAGGACAATGCACATTTGTTACCAGGCCTTGGAAAGACAGGACTGAGATACCTTCAGCACTAGATGGGGTTAGATCTAACCTTGGCTCTGGTAAAAACCTTTAGTTAATGTGCAAAAGCAAGGCAGCCAACACTTTATTGGAAGATAGGAGTGAGGATGTTAAAGGGCTTGTGGGCAGGAAGGTAAAGAACTGGCAGTACAGACACCACCCCTCTCATACCACCTGTCAGGAAAAACACATTTGCTTGCCTTTTAAGCTGTGCCTAGGATTTAGGAGCTTGTATCTACCAGATCAGTCACCACAAGCTAGGGCTATATTAACTGTCTGGTCCAAAGGTACTTAATTTCCAACCTGAAATTTTAATGATTGTCTTCTTGCTCACAAGTCTCTGAGTCACATCCAAAATAGACCTTCCCTCTAGCTATGGATATACTGTTACAAGAAAGTACTTACCACGCCCATGTGTCTGTATCAAACATGACATTATTTAACAATGCCGTTTCACCCTTTCCCTCACTGGCCCTTCTTTGGGGGCAAGTGTGTCCCTCTGGAAATTCCTATGTTGAACTCTTAGCCCTTAAGGTGATATGTTAGGAGGTGGGGATTTTGAGAGGTGATCAGACCATGAGGGTGGATCCCTTATCAATAGGCCTGCCCTCCCTTAAAAAAGGGACTCCAGAGCATGCTCTCATTTTCTTCCACCATGTGAGGCTAGAAGCATCCGGTAATGCACAGTCTGAAAGAGGGCCCTCATCAGCAGCCAACCATACTGGCTTCTTGATCCCAGCCTTCCAGCCATAGAACTGTGAGAAAAGTTTCTGATGTGCATAAGCTACCACGCCACGGTACTTCATTACAGAAGCCAGAACTGATGCAGGCAACTGACTTTCCATGAAAATTGTCTACCTGTCATAGAATCCTAGGCAATACAGTTCTCTAAAAGGACTAAAAAGATGAATCCCTAATCACGCAAGATTCTTGAAACTGATTTAAAGCTTCTAGCAGAACCTTAGAACCCCTAACCTTTGCATAAAAAAAGGTGGGAATACAGAAGCCCATGTTCCATGATACTACTTTCCAGTCTGCAACATTATATGAGTCAAAACAGAGCACATAACTGGCTTAAATTTAAAAAGCAGAACTTTAGGCTTTGTAAGTATTCACATATATTCTGTACAATACTTGAAATTTAGAAGCTCAGCCACTGATTTAAAAATAAGACTAGAAAATACATATTTATGGGTCTTTTTCAAATATCCACTTAGCAGTTAATAAGAGTTCAATAACAGAGAACATGCATTAAGTGATCTTTATTGATGTTTTACATTCAGTTATTCATTATTAATTCTTCAGACAATCATACAAGTATGATAAGTTATTTTCTATTTGCTGTGGGGATTCAAATGTAAAATAAATACAAAATACATTGTGGTTCAACGAACACTTAATGAAGCATTTTTTTTTCTGAGGTATTCCTTTCAGTCTGGTATTTCAGATCTTTTTACTTCCCCCCAGAATTGTCTATTAAACCACATAATGGATCTGTGAACTGGTGATCCAAGTCCCCTGTGAATCAATGAACTTGATTTTCAACTGCATTAGACATATTTTTTGATCTCATCATACAACACCAATACAAAAGCGCCACCCATGCCTCTCAACACATTGGACCAGGCACCTTTGAAGAAAGCCTTGGCTCCTTCATCTTTTGCAATCTTCTTCCAGCAGTCAACTGTCCCCGTGTACATAATGTCAGCTGTGAAAACAAACAGGAGTAAAGGCTCCGTAACTCTGGAACAAAGATTTTTTTTTCTCCCTAAAAGACATCTGCACACAGTGTTACCAGTTTCATACAATCAGTGTCTTGAGCATTAAGCCCTATCTCTATGCAATACTCAACTGGACACCTTCCTTGAAAAATGGTTTGGCTCCTGCCATGACTGTTCGATCTCCAATGATTCTGACTCCTTTAACTCAGATCAATGAGTAATTGGAGAAATAAAACCAGGTACTTCAAGCTGTCAACCTAAAACCAGGGAGCATTATGCTACACAATCACCTTTTATATGGAAGACAAAACTGAGGCCTAATGTCAAGTCATACTGCTTAAGATTGATTATATGGCTAAAATAAAGGGCTGTAACTGTCAGGTTGAACCATGTCAAATGGTTAATACCTGACTTTAAAATGGCAATCTTACATGTTTCAACCTGTAGAAATAAAAAGTTTTTCCACCACAATGGACTGAGGCCATCTCTCTTCCAGCTAAAAGCTCCTCTCCCAAATACTCCTGCAATAACTAGATAAGGGAATCCTTAATTCTTTTTAAACAACCAGCTAATTTCTTCTTTTTCCTTGCTTCTACACCAAGGCTGTAAGGGCCCAAGGTCTCTATCATGCTGGATACCTGTTTAGTTCATCTGTAAAAATCTCATCCTTGATGGTCTTTATCATTTCTTTAATAGAAAAAAAAAAAACTTTTCCTAAAGGAACAGTTCAGAATATTAGGGGAAATTAAGCATAATCTTTCTTTCCTAAACCTTTCTTACCACACAGTTTTGGTCATCTGGAATAATGAAGATTGAAAGGAACACTTAACAGGGTTCAGGCTTACCCCCTTTCCGGCCAGACTGCATCATCATCCTACGACGAACAGTGTCAAAGGGGTAGGACACCAGCCCGGCCACTGCCGTCACGGTCTGGGCGATCATCCAGCTCACGATAATGTGCACGTTCTTGGGGTCAGGCAACATCCCTGCGGGCAGAGCCAAGCAGCCAAACAGCCGTGAGATGAGGACTCCTTTCAGCTGCTGGGCCAAGAGCAGGTGGGCGGAGGTGGGAGAGAAGGGGCATCTACTTCTCCAACTGCACTCTGCGGGCCTCGCCCCCCCCCCCCCCCGGGTGGGGGGAGACCTCAAAGCTACCGGGGCAGCCAACAGAAGCCTGCTGCTGCCCCTTCTGGATCCAGGGATGCCAGCACTCTGCAGGCTTTGGTTACTTCTAGTTTAACTGGAAACTGGTATGGCTGTGTCAAAAGGGAAGTTAAGTTCCCTCTTCCTCTCTGAACAGCTCAAGGGCAGAGTTAATTTCAGTAGAGGACACAGAGAGTCCTTTAGCTATTAATGTATCCACACCACATTCAGAAGCCTTGGGTTAGCCCAGTGACTGGAAAAGAAACAAGGTTAATAAATGTGAAGTCCTCTGGAAGCTACAGATCCCACAGGCCCTTCTCTCCACACACCCTCCTCCTCCCCGCGCCCCACCCCCACCACAGCCCCTCTCTCACCCTTGGCAGTATCATAGACTCCGAAGTAGGCAGCTCTGTAGATAATGATGCCTTGCACAGAGACATTGAAACCCTGGTAGAGACCCCTCAGGCCATCAGACTTGAAGATCTTGGTGAGACAGTTGCCCAGACCACTGAACTCACGCTGGGCGGCACCCTTGCCCACGTCGGCAGCCAACCTGGTCCTGGCAAAGTCCAGCGGGTAGACAAAGCAGAGGGAGGTGGCCCCAGCTGCCCCACCGGAGGCCAGGTTACCAGCGAAGTAGCGCCAGAACTGCTTATGCCGATCCACGCCCCCCAAGAAGATCTGCTTGTACTTGTCCTTGAAGGCGAAGTTGAGAGCTTGGGTGGGGAAGTACCGGATCACGTTGGCCAGGTTACCCCTCCAGAAGGAGAGAAAGCCCTGCTCCTTGGGGATCCTCACCACACAATCAATGATCCCTTTGTACTGCTTCTCAGCGCTGATCTGTTTGCTGGCATGCTGGACCTGGGGGAGTGGAAGGGGAGGGGTGACAGGGGACAGGCAGGGAAGGGAGAAGGGAACAAGACGGGAGAAAAGAAGGTTTGCACTCCCTCCATTTCCTTTTGAGAATACAGCTTGAGAAAACCAAGCCGATACTGAGAAAATGTAAACATATATTAGCTACCAGGAAAACCAGCCCAAAACTCCAATTTTTGTCTCAATTGCCAGGGCCTTTTTACAGAAATGTGTGCCCTAGATTAACTGAAAGGGCCCTTTTATGTAAAGATGGGCATTAATTGATTGCATTTTCCCTATACACCAGGCTTACTGGAAGACAGAAACGACCCAAGCTACATTCCCCCAAGGGCTGGCAATGTAACAGGCGTGCAGGCAGGGGATGGCACTCCTCAGTGCCACTCAAGTCTCCCTGGAGATGAGGCTCTCTCAGGGGAAGAAAAAACCCACTAGAGCCTGGAATTTTGCAAGAAACCAGTTATTGAGGGGTTTGTTGCCCCAATGAGGAATTTGTTGGGGTTTGGTTGTTGATGATCCAAATCACAATTGGGCAATCTGGAGCAACACAGGACGCATGGCCGTCATGGGCCACTCAAGGACCAGGCGTGGGGAGAAGCAGATTCGGAGATTTTACATATGGTGATCTGAGTTTATTTGGAAAATTGTTTCTTAATTTCTCAAAACCCCAGCTGCTTTTGTCTGTAAAATGGGGGAAAAGAGCATCCATGTCGTAGAGGTTATATAAAGGTGAACGAAATGATGTGTCCGTCTCTAGCACAATGCCTGGGACACGGTAAGAATCCTCGAGTCACAGCGATCATTTTGACGTTTTTATTGTACAAGATGGCTGCAGATGAAAAGAACACTGAAAATCTGGAGAGGCCAGCTTACGAGGCCCTAACTGGAGCGCGGGTGCTGTCACGGGCGCAGGACCTGGCAGGCTGCAGCCGACTCCGGGGGGGTTTCCATATATAGACACCCTACCGCGGGGGCGCCACCCGACACCAGGAATCTGCTACTGACGCTGGACCGGTGTCTGCGCAGAGGGCACCTTCCCCTTAGCGCGGGCCCAGCGTCGGGGCCTGCGGCCTAGAGCAGATCTCCTGCGGCTCCCCGCGCCCCGCGTCGCTGCGGCTTGCACCATACCCCGGCGCCGTGCCGGGCCCGCGCCCCGGCAGACCGCGCACCGCGCCCGCGCCCGCGCCGTGCTCACCTGCAGCAGCAGTTTGACCCTCTCGATGGGGGCGACCGCAGTCTTGGAGACGGCAGCGGCGACGCCACCTGCCAGGAAGTCCTTGAGGAAGCTCAAAGCCTGATCACTCATGATGACAGCAGGGCGCACTCAGTCTGCAAGGAGCCGCCTCGCGCTCGCGCTCTCGTTCTCGCCTACGCCCTAGCCAGGCACCGCCACGCCGTCCCCGTCCCCTGCGCGAAGCGAAGAGGCCGCTTGGCTCGCCGCAGCCCTCCTTATAAGCCCGGCGCGGCGTCTCGCGAGAGGAGGAGGTCCCGGGCCGGAGCGCGCATTGCGCATTGGCTGCGCAGGTGCTGGACACCCCCTCCTCGTCCCCCTCCTCCGCAGAGGGCATCGGGGGCGAAGCCGCTTCCGGGAGGCAGGGGTGGGCCGGGGGCTGTGCCTCCAGCCTGGGACGTTTAAAGGGCACATTCGGGTTATCTGTGGCGGCGAGCAGAGGGAACACCGTGTCACCGCGGCATGTGGGCCGCTGTATTTATAGCACACGAAGGCTTAGCCCGGGGACGGACACGGGACCCGCCGCCTGCAGCCGTGCTTTCTTTAACCTCGGGCCCGCACGGGACGCGCTCCGGGCCAAGGGAGTGGGGGCTATTTTCTTGTCCTGTCTCCGTGTCCCTTGCCAGCCCTGCTTGGATCTCCACCTCTTCAGAGCTGTGCGCTCTGGCAAATCCATTGTGATCCTCCTAAATAAATGTTAACGTCACTTGGTGCTGCGATCTCCTCCTCAGATCTGGCAGCCGACTGTCCCCCCCTCTCCATTCAATCTTGCAGTCATTCATGCTGCAATCGAATACCGTGCACCGGGCAGTCGGGGGCCCAGGGAAGCCCGGCGCAGGGCCGTAGCTGAAGCTTGCAAAGGGCGTGTGGGGCCTCTGAGGCTTGCTTCTCTGCTAGGTCGGCCCGCCACAGCCCGCTGACTCAAAGACCCGGGGTGCTTCTTGGTAAGCTCCTTGGTACAGCTCAGAGGACACTCCTTTTTTCACCCCCACCCCACCCCAGGGCTTAATGTGCCACCGTGCTCTCCACTCCGGGCGCGCAATCTGGGCAGAATGTTCTCAATCAGCGAGTGCCTTCTTGAGGGTCAGGGCTCACAACCTCTCCCAGGTTGGATCCCTGGCTGTATTGATCTCATTGTAATAGGAAGATGGGGTTGCGGAGATGCCAGGCCCAAGGAACTCATTGCAATCATAGTTAAAGTATGTCATTCTGGGCTTTCATTTCTTTCCCCCAGGAGTTCACATAAGGCGCACAGGTTTTCAAATGCAGCTGATCTGCTTCTGCCTTCCAAATACAGCTGTTCCTTTCGCTAGAATGAGGGCCGAAAGTTTTTGACCTCAAACTCTTTACTCAACTCTCTTTCCATGTTTGCTAATGTCCATTTGTGCATTTGCAAAGGTTTATGATTTTTTTTTAAGGAAAGAGCTTGCTGATGAGTACGGAAGTCATGGTAAGTGTTTGTTGAGCCGCAGCCGTGTGTCACTTTGGGCGAGCAGAGGTCACCGGTGGCATGCCAGGCCATAGAGGATACGCATTTACCCGAGGAGAGGCAGAAATCATGATGAGCAGAGCAATGTGAAAGCTAGGAACCACTGCACAGCGGCCAGAGGTCAGAGCAGATAGAAGGTCAAGAACTTGGGAGAGACTCACAGAAGAGCCACTTACACATTCATTCAACAAACACTTGCGGAGCATTTGCTGTATAAACCACAACTAAGCGTGGCCCTGTGGAGTCCACGTGAGTAAGACGTGGCTTATTACCAAGGATCTTGTGGTGGAACGTCTTTGGCTTGATCAGCTTTATTTATCACACCTTCACGTATGGATTTCTATGGATCAGAAGAATCTTATATCACTCATTTGTACCTACAATAGTGTACTATGTTCCAGCCTATTAATATAGAGCACCTGTTTAAGCCATTTTCTTTTTTTTAATTTTTTTTTTATTTTTTGACAGGCAGAGTGGACAGTGAGAGAGAGAGACAGAGAGAAAGGTCTTCCTTTTGCCGTTGGTTCACCCTCTAATGGCCGCTGCGGCCGGCGCACCGCGCTGATCTGAAGCCAGGAGCCAGGTACTTCTCCTGGTCTCCCATGGGATGCAGGGCCCAAGCACTTGGGCCATCCTCCACTGCACTCCCTGGCCACAGCAGAGAGCTGGCCTGGAAGAGGGGCAACCGGGACAGAATCCGGCGCCCCGACCGGGACTAGAACTCAGTGTGCCGGCGCCACAGGCGCAGGATTAGCTTATTGAGCTGCGGTGGTTGTTTCTTATTGTCATCATGAAAAAAAAATGCTGTTAAATAAACGCACAAACTTCATTGTATCTTTTAAGTTTTTTCCTTTTCATGTACTCCCAAAATGGAATGCATACATTGAAGGGTTTAACACTTTGCAGCTCCTGTTAGATATTGATAAATTGCTCTTCAGAAATCTGAACTCACCAGCAAAATAGGCTGGTGCTTTTTATTCATAGGCCCTTCTTCAACAACGACAAAACCCTTTTATTCATATTATGAGTTTCACTTAGCTCTTCTTTAATTACTATGAAACCGTACATATTCCAAATGATTCAACTTAATTTGTTAAGTTTTCTTACTGTGTAAACTTTTAATCTTCCTCAACCAATTTATAATGAAAGTATTTTTACTAACAACCACTCTTTATATATTTGGGACAATAAACAGATGTTGAGAACTTTCCATTTTGTTGTTTTTGATATTTATTTTATACTCTTGTTATTCTCCCAATGTTATTTAAATATCAAATATATATTATGATAATATGCCTTATGATTTTCTATGACTGTATCTGTTTTACAAATACATCAGTTTATTCTACCCTAAAAATAGATATATTAGTCTATTTTCCTCTTGGTAGAAAAGATATCTTTGGTTATTTTAAAAATATCTAGCAATAATTATGTATTATAAGGATATAATTTCACATTCTTCCTTACCACTCTTGGATATCCCAACAGTAATTCTTAAATAAATATTTTTTCTCTCCATTATTTATTTTATAGTATTAATTCTAGTTTTCAGATAATGATTTATAATAGCTTTAATTTATTCAGTCTCCATACTATGACATTTGGTGATCATAATTATTTAGGAAAAAAGCTAATACATGTTTCTGCAACTACTTAAAAGATAAAAAAGTTTTATCTGCTTATATATCTTGATTTATTTTTACTTTCAAGTTGTTCGATTATTTAAACATTGCCAGAAGAGTTTTAACAGACATTTATATTAAAAATTAACTTAATATAATAATTCTAGAAGTATTATCATCATTGTTATACTTTCTTTTACCAATCCAAATTTTTTATATTTTCTAAGCAGGAGATGTATTCCTCCTGGGCTTCTCGCCAATTCTCCTGTCATGTAGAGGGAGCTGTAACCGGAATCCTTGACAAGGGGTTTTCCATGGAAGCCCATACGTACAGCACTCCCTTTTCATGGACTTTCTCAGAAAAGAGAGGCCTCAGATGCCCTCTGGGGCGTGAGCTGCCCGGGATCACAAGATCCAGGTATCACTTACACAGGCAGAGGAGAGGAGAGAATGGCGCTCGGCACAACATGTGTCTCCTGGCCAGTCCCAGGACGGAGTGGCTGTCTGCCAGCAGGAGGATGGACAAGGCATCTCGGGGATAAGAGAAAGCACTTGACTTCCAAATGTGGCATGAAGTCCTGGAGGCTGGGAGGACAAGCTACACGGAAATGGGGGTAGGGTACTGAGCTGGATTTCTGCACTTCTGGGGGCTTTTGTAGAACTAGTAGCTTACCAAACTGAGACTACAGAGTGGGAGCTGCTAAAGAGTAAAAGGCAGAGCCAAAGAGTCAAAATAAAGGAAAACACTTGAGGATTTGCTGGTGTGATGATAATGCCATGCCTATGTGCAGGTGTACATCTGAAAGAGTTAGGAATTAGAAAACACTCCCACTATCTGTACACATGGGACGTGTTAGCATTAAGCAAAGAGGATCAATACATTTATTTCTCATCACTCAAGAACCCATATGAATTGCTGGATGTCAATCAAAGGAAATTATTAAGACTCATTCACATTGATGCACTGCTTTGAAAGGACAAAACAAAATGAATGAATATTTTCCACAATTCTTGCTTGGGTTAGCTTAGTGAATTAGAACAACACTCCACTTAAAAATATCCTTTATAATGAATTTTCTTTGTATAAAGTCCATATTAGAGGGCCCACACACCAACCATATCTTCACAAATCATGAATATTCATGGAAATTCCTCCAATCACCAGTAGTTATCTAATGTAAGTGACATTGTAAAACTGCAACATGTCTCTCTCTTTTTTCTAACTCATTTTGTTCATTCTAGGAACTTCTACCTTTTAGTGGCCAACTCCCTCGGGTATTTAATTTCCTCCCATTGTTCCTCATTAAAATTGAAATGATCTGAACCACTTATACCGCATTAATTCATTCATTCATTCATTTTTTCTCTTTTCATCTTCCTACAAGGATTACTGAATACGTACACTGGACACCATGCCCTCTCTGGGGTAGGATAAGATCACCGCCTGGAGAAGCTCACATGCCAGAAGCAGATATTCTTGTTCTGCTTCCAAAGCTGTTTCAACACGTGTAGGGCCCAGAAGTAATTCAGTGTGAAATCTCAGTTAGAATTTGTGTGACTTTTCAAAGTTACATTATTTTTAATTGACAGAAATATTGTATATATTTATTATGTACTACAACATGATGCTTGGATGTACATATACATTGTGGCATGGTTAAATCTAGCTAATTAACAAATGTATTACCTCACATAGTTATTTTTGAGGTGAGAACACTTAACATCCACTCTTTGCAGAAGTTGTATTTCCAGCATTTTATGGATGCTTCTGAAAGAAAAAGCTTTGCTAGAAGTATTTTACGCCCTATTATTTAAAAGAGGAGACTTTGAGGGGGGCAGAAGAGCCCCTGATTCGTGGAAAAGAGGTCAGAGGGATCCTTCCGGAAGGCTCTCCGCCTCCAGCCCCTGCAGCCCACCCCAGCTGGCACAGGCAGGCCGCACACTTCCCAGAGACAGATTCCTAACTCCCTTTCTCCC